CAGGGACAAACACATGCCACTGACTTGACTATGGCTAGAAAACACAAGCCCAGGAACAAAGTATGAAGGCGAGCAGAGGGTCGAACTCTGTTCCACCTAAAGAACCTATCAAAAAATGTCTTCCAGTCCCCACTGCTCTCAGAGTACCTGGGGAAGGACTTGTCTACCAGGCGGCATGGTAATAGCTTCTTCAACCTGGAAGCTGAGAACACCACTTGGCTTTTCTCACCTCCTTATGCCACAGGGGGAGCAGGAAGAAAAAGGGGTCTCTGTGTGTGATTAAGCCTGGGTAGGCCCTGTCACTTACTTCACCTCCATGCCTCAGTCTTCTTGTCTGTAAAATGAGGATGAACACTTAAACAATGCCTGGTGCACTGTAGGAAACTCCAGAAGTGCTAGCCATTCCAGTCTGACTATCCAGGGACATGGAGTTGTCAGTAAGCGATGGGAACTGGAAGGTGAACGGGTTCAGCCCAGCAATCCCCTGAAACCCTTCTTTCTATGCCAGTGTCTGGTAGTGAAGGTTAACAGTCACTGCATCCTACACAGAAAGGACCCCCCAGGGCCCAGAACCTTTGGGAATGGAGCTCAGCATTGCCCCAACAGGGAAAGACCTCAGAGAGCTAAGACCCAGCTGGAAGGGAAGGGTGTGAGGAATGGACATGCAGTGCCTGTGGCTCCCCCAGGTAGCTCCTGACTGGTCCACAGCACTTCATCCCTGAGTCTTCCTTTGCAGCCTCCCATCCACCCTCATCCAGGCCCCTCGTCCATGAGGGGGGACCCCACCCCTTCTCCTCCAGCCCACTTCTACCTGCACCCTCTGCAACAGCCAGTTCCCAGAGCCCAGGCAGGGCTCCAGGCGTGGCCTCCTTCCCCCTGAGCAAGGCACTCACAGCGCCTCTTGACTGGCCCTGATCCTCCTCCACTCTGGATCACCATCACTCCCTACCTGCTGGCCACCCTCCTGTTCTGTGCTTGGAGTTGGTCATGCTCTCCTGTGCATCCCTGAGTGTGCCGAGCCCTCTCTCTGGAACACCCACCCTGTCAGCCCCTGGCTCTCTCTACTCTGTCCTATGAATCAGCCCTGTGTGAAGTAGGGGCCCCTCCCCTGCTCCCACCACACACCTGGGGTCACCTACATCATAATTCTGATTATAGACAGAGTAGAGAGAGCCTAGCTTCCCCTCTCAGCGCCTTGAAAGACACACTAATCCCTGCAGCCCCCAGCGCCTGCAAAGTGCCAGCACATCACAGTCACCGGATGGGAGTCAACGGGTCTTGCCTCCTCTCACCCTCGTGTAGCCGGGGCTGGGGGAGGGCCGCCCACAGAAACACTTAACGCAAACTCTCAAACTAAAAAACAGTGAGGATTGAGAGAGGCTTCCTTTGTTAAAAGACAGCAAACTGTTAGATTTCAAAAATAACTTAAGACGGGATTTCTTTTTTATTCTCAAGCAAGCAGCCAGACATTGCCAAATCTATTTAGAAGGTTCACCAAGAGGCTGCTAATCCCACCCTGGTGGTCCAGCAACCAGCAGATTTCATTTGGGGGCATGCGAACTGGGGATCCCTGATCCCAGGGTTACTCGCCAAGGTCAGGGCTCCTCTGAGTGGGGGAGGGAGCTCTCAGGGCCCCTAGAAGAGGCTGGCCCCCACTCCCACTCACCCTCAGTCCCAAGGACCTGCTCACAGCCTGTCGGCCCCCATCCATGCCGCCTGACTGTAGGGAACTCGTTTTAATTAATGCCAGAGCTGGGCCAACCACTGGGGCCATGACACTTGTTTGCAGGTCATCTCCTCCTAACAGGCTCACCCTGGGAGGGGATTTGTCACTAATTGAAGCAGAGATCAGTTAATGAGGCTGTGGGACCTGGGGTTCCAGAGAACAAGGGAAAGGAAAATAAAATAAAGCCTCTTTCTTCAGAGGTTTTGTGATTTACACACACAAAAGAAAAGCAAGCAAGCTGCCGATTTTCCAAGTCAGAAACTCCACTCCATCTGCCGGAGTTAGACCCTCACTGTGTGAAGACGTCAGGCAGAGGGACGCTGCCACTGCTAGGACTCGCAGATCGGAAAGGAGAGGGGCCTCAAGGCCAGCAATCAATCAGCGGCCTAATTAAGAAGTATTTATGGGGCAGTGGCCTGTGCTCCTCTCCATAGGGGAGAAACCATGGTGCCTGTCCCTGGTTAACTTGTAATCCAGTGGGGATGGGGCTGAAACTGCACAACACTGAGGGGAAGGGGACACGGTGAAATTGAGTATGAGTGGGGAGGACAGAGTTTCCAGGACTTGTGCGGAGGGAGAGTGGTACAGGCTGGAGCGGTTGGGGAAAGCCTTTCAAGGGCTGCAGGAACTCCTAGAGAGGTGAAAGGAGGGAGTCCCCAGCACAGGCACAGCCCCGAGTGAGGCCCAGCCCCTGCCCAGCTAGATTTCAGCTCTGGGAACTCCAGAGGGCTCCAAGTCCCCCAGTAACTCCGTCTTCAGAACTCATACCACACAAATCTGTGCTAGGTTTGCCTTGGCAAGTGTTGGGATGGAATGGCTGACGGTCCCTCAGTTGGGGCAGTGAGGACTGGACATACAGAGGGCTTGGGGCTCTCAGACAAAGTTTTTTGTGAGACAGGGTTTTGCTCTGTCGCCCAGGCTGCAGTGTAGTGGCACAATCATGGCTTACTGCAGTCTTGACCTTCCGGGCTCAAGCGATTCTCCCACCTCAGCCTTCTGGGTAGCTGGGACTATAGGTGTGCACCACCACGCCTGACTAATTTTTTTTGCATTTTTGGTAGAAATAGGATTTTGACGTGTTACCAGATAGGATTTTGCCATGTTACCCAGGCTGAGAAACTGAATTCTTGTTCTCCGTGCCCCAGGCCTGCAGAGTGAAGTCCAGCAGGACAGTGATCCTCTTCACTCATGCCTTTCCATTCAGGGCCACTCAGCATCCTTCCCTATGTGGCCTCCTCTTCCCACCTCACCCCTGAGTCTCAAAGAAGGGAAGGGGATTTTTGATCTGTTAAGCTAAGCCTACCATCAGCTTCTCTCATCACAAGGAACAAGGAGGAGGTGACAGAGCCCTTTCCCCTACTCAGGAGAGCCCTTGGCCTTCACCCAGCAAGTCCCCAAAATAAGGGACCCCCAGGTTATCAGAATCCCAGATGAAGTCTCCAGCTGGGCTGCAGGGCAAGTAGGGTGGCAGGTCAGCAGTCTCTTGGTGAGTCATCCGAATAGGTCTGCAATGTCTGGCTTCTTGCTTTTGTGAAGACATAAGGATTTAGGGAAGAGATTTTGGGCATGAGATGGGATATCCCACTTCACAGCTATTTGGAGATGACTTGGTCTATGTGGGAGTGAAATAAATGAGGCCATTTCAGGACAACCCCAAATCCCTCCTTTAGAAGAATGGTGAATTAAACTGTAGTATATGGTACAATGGGTGAACAGTTATTATACAGTATTTACTCAATGGCACTGGAAAGATGAGGAAAGTAGGTTTTACCAAGGTTATTATATATGAATTCTTCATTATATGTGAATGTTTTCTTTTTCATTAGAGATAAGGTCTTGCTATGCTGCCCAACTTGGCCATATGTGATCCTTCCATCTCAGTCTCCTGGGTAGCTGGGAATACAGGGGCACACCATCTTGCCCAGCTGAATGATTTTTTTCTAATTTTTTTCAATTTTTATTATTTATTTATTATCTTTTTTGGTGGGGAGATGGAGTGCAGTGGCATGATCTTGGCTCAGTGCAACCTCTGCCTCCCGGGTTCTAGCAATTCTCCTGGGTTGAGTAGCTAGAATTATAGGTGCCTATCAAGATGTCGACTAATTTTTGTATTTTTTTAGTAGAGATGGGGTTTCCTCATCTTGGCCAGGCTAGTCTTGACCTCCTGACCCATGTGATCCGCCTGCCTCAGCCTCCCAAAGTGTTGGGATTATAGGCATGAGCCACTGCACCCAGCCTTTTGTTTTTTTAAATGGGGTCTCGCTGTGTTGCCCTTGTTGAAGTGCAGAGGCTGTTCATAGGTGCAATTATAGCACACTACAGACTCCAACACCTGGGCTCAAGTGATCCTCCCACCTCAGCCTCCTAAGTAGCTGGGACTACAGGCGTGCCCCACTGTGCTCAGCTATGTGAATGTTGTTTGGTTTTCATTTTCTAATTATTTTTTCTTACCAGTTACATTAATTTATTGTGTAATGAATGAAATGACAGAGTTGTGAAGGGATCCTTCACCCACTAGAGTCGGCTACAGAAGGCCAGCCCAATGGGGATCCAGAGAGAGCCAGATGTAGGCACAGAAGTGGGCTCAGGGAGGGACAAGCGTGAAGAAGGCCCTGGCAGCTTGAGCGTCTACTCTGGCTCTGACCCAGGCCCCTGACTGTGTCACTTGCCCTCTGACCTCCTCTGGGAAGCAGGGAGTCACACCCACTCTACACTCACGCTCGGTCTCTGAATCTCCCCTAATGAGGCTCTGGCCTCAAAGTACTATGGAGATTCAGAGTGAGCCTAACGCCCCTGTCTTCAGCACTGAAAGGTCTTCAGGAAAGGATGGACGTGTGACACCAGTAAGGCCACAAAGAGGGAACAGCAGTGTCCTGGCAGCTCAGCAAGAGTTCAGGGGAGTGGGCATGTGGGCCAGCCTTGCAGGGTCATTCCTGTGTGTCCCCCGCCCCAGCCACGTTACTGAGAATGAGGAGCGGCTCTTCCAAGCAGAGTGCTGGGCAACTGTAGCCCCACTCAAGGAAGATGTCCTGCCTTGGTGCCCCTGGGCACCACCTCACCTCCTCATCTGCTCTCCAAAACAGGGAGCGCCAGGTTGTGCTCTGTCTACTGGAGCCTCTTCTTGGCCTGGAAAGCCTGTCCTGACAGCCCACCCAGAAACCTGTCTCCCACATCCTTGCCTGGCCTGGCCCTCAGAGAAGCATCCACGTGCAATGCTGAGTGCGGTGGCCCCATAGCAGCAGAGCCAAGAAGGAGCAGGGGAGGGAGTACTCACAGCAATGGAGACGGCACTGATGACGGCTCCCAGGTAGCCCTGGATGAACTTGGATGCAGGTGAAGGCTGTAAAACAGAGGCAGAATTTCAGGCCTGCTGGGTGCCCAAAGCTCCCATACTCCCCCTTGTAAGCTGTACCAGCCAGCAAGAAGCATCCTGCCCACCAGCCTGGAAGGTAGGTGAAAAAAGGTCCCACAGAACCACAAGGAATTGGGCCACCCTCATCTCAGTTCCCAATGTAGAAACATAAAGCGCTATTATCCAGGGAGATGCTGAAGGGCCTACTTTACTTCTGCTCTATTGTAGAAAGGTCACTGGCAGATAGTGCTAGCGGGAGGTACAGAACAGCAAGGCCAACATGAACCACTGATGGCTGGGGCAAGAAGTCATCAGTTTAGAGGCTAAATGTTGCAAGAGGGCTGTTTGGCACCTGGAGGGCTTTCTAGGTGGAAATGCCAGGGTCAAGGCTCTCATAGGCCTGGTCAGCCCATGGAACAACTGGGCTCCCATGTCAACAGAAAACAGCTGCCCAATATTGCTACAGAAAAATATATCCCAAGTTCCAACACAGACAATTAAGAAAAAGCTAAGGAACTTGTCCTGTGCTACAATTGCAGGTTTAGAGATGTTTGGTTTAAGATAAATGGGAGTCATCCAAGCAGAGATGTCCATATATGAAGCCTATGAGAGAGACCTGGGGTGGAGGTTTAGACATCAGGGGTACTCAGAGTATCAGGCCTCTCAATTCCTATGGCCCAGGCCAGCTCCTAACTCCCCTCCTCTCCCCCAAGGTTAGCAAATGTTAAGACTCTCCTCTACCCCCAAACCAACCGGCTCCCAAAGGGGACCTAGATGCATCCTGCCTTTTTTGCCTTTGAACTGAAGTGGGGGAGATGTGGCCTTGCCAGCAAAGCAGGGGCCCAGCAGCCCTTCCTGGACAGCAGAAGGGTGACTAGGCCTCCACCACAAGCTCTCCAAGGAGTGCAGGAGACTTTGGGGAGGAGGTACCAGCCCTGGATCCTCCCCACTCAGGAGCAGCTCTTCAGCTTGTGGCCAGTAGTCAGGAGCTAGGGACACAGGCAGTTTCCAGAAAGCTTGGAGGAAGCTTTAGGGAATTTGGCCCCCAAGTAACTGATATCATCATGATCCAAAACCCATGAGTAAGAGCTATCAAATAATCCAAAAGCCAGTGGAACTCATCCCTTGCACTGCTCCCATTTAATGGGCCTTCTTAACTTCATGTAAACAGCCCCTCCCGAGAGGACTCCTAGCCCAGAGACTCCAGCTGACCTCAGCCTAGTACTGTCTGAGTCAGCCAATCAACCTGAAGGGTTGGCATTTTAAATAAGATATCTGGAGGAGGGCAATGCTTAACCAAGAGGCAGCCACGGATGGTGACATGTCATGCTGTAGGGAGGCTGACTGGGCCTTCCCATCCTGAACCCCACTACTGGGCAGAGGGCAGTGATGCTTACCTTGGTAGCATTGCGGTTTGCATAGTTGACACAGGCATTGTGGCTCTGGTTCAGCCACTGAAAGGCAATGATGAGAGAAGTCAGGGAAGGAGTGGTCACCTCCTAAGAAGCCAGACCCGGACCCCAGGAGGCCACACATCCCCAGAAAGGCAAAGCATGCAGTCTCCAGCTCACATGGTGCCGCCCATGCTGCTGGTTAGCATGGCCCACCATCCTGGTTTGCCCAGGACTGTGCTGGTGTTAGCACTGGAAGCCCTGCATCTTGGGAAGCCTCTCAGTTCCTGGATGAGGTCCTGTGCACCCCAGCAGTCCACCTGATACCGAGACAGTTAACTCTCCTGGAATGATGGCATTCACTGTCCCCACACACCACACTGCCTTTGTCACACCATCTTTATTATATGACTTGCTGGACAAAAGGTGGCCTAGAATGACTGACAGTCCTGCACTTCTTTCAATAATCTCTCAGTCCAGTGTCCTGCACTTCCAGTTCCCAGACACAGAGGCTGTCAGGAGTTTTGTTCAGGGGAAGACTGACATTTTCTCCTAGAAGACCGAGAGGCTTTTCTCCTGCCCCTCTTTCTCTGCACACACAAACACAGAGACATCCTTAACTATTTTCATGGAGTCACACCTCAGACTTGTCTCCAAGGGCAGGGACCAGGGTTTGTGATACACTTCACAACCTCAGGTTAGCCGTGGATTTATCTTCCTCTGTCGATGTGGGGGAGGCTGATGTCAAAATGAGGCTCTGGGCCTCAGGGTCACTGGCCTTCAGAGAAGCAGCCAAGGGGCAGAGTGGGGGCAAGCCAGCATGTTCCAGGCAGGGACATGCAGCCCTCATCACCTATGTCCAGAGGTTAGAGTGACACACGGTGGCTTGAGACATGGTGGGCTGCTGGAGACCTGCTCAGCAGGGCCAAAGTCCTAGTTTTCCTTCAGTGGGTTCCGGGCTAGGGGAGGTGTGGAGGTGGACTGACCCTGTGTGGGGTCTGGATGGGGCAGGAGACACCAGGACAGGGAGTTCTTAACGAGCACATGTGTGGGCCCTTCCTTCAGGAGCCCTGTTTGCTGGGAGACTGTTACCTGCCAGAAAATAGTGGATGCCAGTGTCTGGTTGGGCAAGAGAAGACCGACTACCTATGAGCGAGAGAGAAGAAATGCTGAAAAAGGCAAAAGAAACATCCTATGCTTTCGCAAAGAAAAAATATACTGCCGCAAACGAGTGAGCTGGATCTGTACAAACTGATGTGGTATGCTGTATACACACAAACTGAGGCCCACTGAGGGAGAGGGTGTGCCATGGGAAAAAATCAAGTTGCAGAATTATATTATAGCATAATCTTATTTATTTAAAGAAAAATCATCTTTTTTTTGGTATAACCATATACACAAATGCATGCATACACACACATCTCTAAGCATGAAAAAATCTGTAGCATGGATCTCTCTGGAGGCTGGGTTACAGGCTACTTTTGCACAAACAAATATTTCTGTATTTTTTTTAACAACAGACATGCTGCATTATTTCCACAATTGGGGGCAATAAAAACAAGCAAACAAAAGGAGTTCCTTCATTTCCACTCAGGTTACCTGACTCCTTCTCACCCTAGCCATCCCATAAGATTTTTGTGAAAATTAAACAAAAATAATTTCAAAGGTCTTAAGTGCTTTGCAAATACAAGTTGGGGGAATTTGTATGCTATCTGTAAATTTCCATAAAGCAAAAACCTATATCATGTTTAAGTGACTGAATGAAACATAGATTTCTAATATTTGTTGAATGTGTAAAGGAATGAATGAAGAAATAAACAAATGGCTAAAGTATGGAAACACAGGTGTGGATCCATTATTCCCAAAGCCCAAATATCACCTAAGACCTAGACTTGCTGACTGTTTTTTTGGTTTAAGTCAAGATGAACGGTCTGATTTTGACACTGGCCAAGGCTTGGACTTCAGGGATCCACATGTATCTCTCCAGTTTACCTTTTGACTGTTTGTAGGCAAAATAACATCTACCAAGTCCCACTGCATATGGCAAAAATGTGCACAACCACCCACATGTTGACTTATTTATTATTCCGATAGATAAAATGGCTCTTTGGCAAGAATTTCTGTAAGGAACAAGCATAAACACTCAATAATATGAGTAAATCAAATTCTAGACATCCCCAGCAGCATTAGTAAATCATGTTTTAAACATCAAAATGTTTTAAAACAGCGAACACACACATAATCTATATTTATTGGCTCATATCAGTTTGAATAAAATTATATAATATAAAGCTATTTCATAGCTCCAATGAGGAATTATGAGATTTTCTCCCCAGAATGAGGTCCCAACTTGATCTTTTTTTCCTTTGCAGTGGCAGCTCAGGGAACTAGAGTGGGAATAAGGGGAACTTGGATCTTAGACTCAGCTCGGTCCTTGTGTGATCTCTGGCAGAGGATGAAAACCCTTGGGGCTCTAACTTTCTTACCTATGAAAGTGAAGGAATTGACCTCAGTCTAAAATTCGACTCCCAGATTTTGGGTAGTAGGTGCAAAATCAACAGAGACAGTTTCATTGTCTGTAATGGGAACCCATCTGCGAAGGAGTATCCCAGGAAACAAAGGACCTCCTCCTAGCTGGGGGCCCACTTAGAGGCCAGACCAGAGGGAGGACGCTGAGCCTTAGAGGCCAGACCAGAGGGAGGACAGGGACAGGGCGGAGGGATGGGTGAAGGAGAATGTGCTTGTATGTGTAGTGTATGCAGGTCTCACTTGCCTCCTACCACCGGAGGAAGTTAATAAGGCTGTTCACTGTTTGGAGCCCAGCACGTCATCCCCTGATCTGGAATCTACTGAACATGGTATCTTATGGACTACACTGTCTTCTCCCCTGAATCACTACTTACCCCTGGAACTGTGCTTGGACCACCAAGAATGTCATAAAATACAGCCCAATGGGACTCACTGCATTTATCAGACGACTGCTGTCCAGGACACTGCCCACAACACCACAGGGTTCCCTTTACAATCCTCTCAGGGGAAAGATTTTCCAGTCTTAGAGTCAGAAACTGCATCTGAGTAACTGGTGTGCCTTGCAGACACTGGGCCATTTAACTGAGTCTCTCTGCACCATCAAGAAGTTAAGGCCAGCTCTCCATGGCCATATCTGCCAAGTGTACGTACAGACCCACACTGCTAGATTCTGTGCCCAAACCTCACTCTGGCTTCATTTTATCTTCCCTTTCCTAACCTTCCCTTTATCTCATTTTCATCTTCACTTGATTTATCTTTAGTGGCATGCATTTTTAAAAGGGACATCAAGTTTTTTCCAGAACAAACTGGAGGTCTAAACTAAACTAGTATCCAGGCTATGTAACACACACACACACACACAGCCCATGGCTCTGTGACCAGCGAGCTTTTTACTTTGTTGGACAACCCCCACCTCCTATCCCAACCTCCTGCCCTAACATGGGTGTGGGGTCCATGCTGGCACCCCTAACTGTTATAAATATCCTCATTCTTTGTTAAAGAGATGGACTGACTGACTGATTTGGCCAAGCATTTCACTTACCATAATCCTCATACTAACCCTGGGGATCAAAGCAGAGATTACTTTTGATATTTTGCAAATGGGACAACTGAGGCTTAAGAGAAATCCAGCAATCTGTCCATGGCTTCATTGCAAGCTAGAGAATCAGGTCTCCTGGTTCCTGGCTTGGGGGTCCTGACTGATTTTAAGGTGTTCCTTTTCCAGCTCATCCCCCTGAACAGAGAGAGAGAGGGGATCCAGTCAGCACTCCACATCCATTTACGGGGAGCTTCTTCTGTGTACCAAGTTATTTGCTGTTCCCAATGGAGAACGCCAGAGAAGAGGAATGTGAGCATATACACACACACACACTCCTTAACCACAATAAAAACAAAAACCAGACAAGAAAATGTAGAACATCCTTTATAACACCTAGGCTTGAAAATGACAAGATGATTTAATGAGGTATTTGGGTGTGGGTAAAGTTGATAAATTTTAACATTCAAACAGGAGTTCAGGAAGAAAGGGGTGAGTGTGTCCCGGCTAATGAAGGCGGAGGTAGGAGTGAGTTGAGGGGGTGCAGACACAGGAGCAGGGACAGCTGAGACAGCGGAGAGACTGGTCTGACTGCAGAGGAGGTTTGGGAGCCCAGAAGAGAGTCTGGAGAGGCTGAGGTTAGAAGACAGGGAGCACTGAGCTGCACCGGCCAAACGGAGCCTTAGGGGGCCATGTTAGGCTGAGGCAGGGAAGCAGGGATCCTGCCCTCCAGGTCCTTACAGTCAGGAGGGGACCAAAAGCACGAGGATGCCAGCCCCATTCCCTATTAGGCAAAATGCAGCACCATCTGCACAATCCCAGGAGCAAGAGCAGATATTTTATAACTTCCTTTTTTCTTTTTAAGTCTAAATTAAAAATAAATGTTCCCTTCAGCTCTCAGATGTATATCTCTGGTGCAACCTGCCCACATTCTCTCCCGCTGCCCTTTCCAGAACATGGCAGGGGAAAGGAAGAAAGATGGATAGAGAGAGGGAGCCAGTCCACCCAGCTTCAATGCCAGTGGATTGCACCTCTTCCAAGAGGGAAACGATTCAGGCGTGGCCACGCAGACGGGTGGAGAGCGCCCAGAATGTGGCTGGTACCAAGGAAAGTGGAAGGAGAGGGAAACAGGAGCCAACAGCTAGGATTTCTAGCCCAGCCTCCACCCTATCTTGCTGCAGGACCTTGGCCAAATCGCACATCCTATCTCTGCTCCCATTTATAGTTCGTAACATGGCTGAAGTCTTCTCTGCTGCTCCAGCCCCCTGGCAGCTGAGCCCTCTGCACATCTGTCTGTACTTTTGCTGTTCCCCTTCCCCTTGGGTGTTACACCATGGACCTAGTGATTAACGCTCAGGCTCTGGTCGTCAAATGCTGGTGCCAGCATTTACCAGCTGTGTGACCACAGGCAAGTCACACAAGATCTTTGTGCCTGTTTCTTCACCTGTCAAGTGGAGGACAATCCCAGTACCTCTCAGGATGGTTATGAGGAAGTAAGATGTGGAAGGAATTGGGCTCAGTGTGTGGCCTGCAGCAAGCGCTCCCTGGATGCCAGTTGCTAGTGTCATTCCTCTTCTCCCATGTAGTTCTTTCCTGGCCTTTGCTGGTTTCTTTCTCTGAGCTCTGCAGTCAGCATTACACCACCGAACATCGTCTCATCTCCATTTTGTCTTGGAACACAAGTCTTAACCCTCAGGGAACAGAGCTCCAGAAGGTAAAATTGGGGCTTTTTCCCTGTTCTCCTGATGCCCCCCCATGGCATTCAGCACAAAGCTTGGCCCAAATTCAGGTATGGAGAACACTGCTAGTCATTAAATAATTCTTGGCCAGGGAAAGATCCCTGCTGGACTGGGACAATCCACTCCTGATTCCTTTTATTAAGTCCTAATTGCAGGGGGGTGGGGTGGGAAATTGAGTCTTTGGTCCAGATTATTTCCCACTCCCTGCATCCATACCCTTGCCACAGCCTCATCCCAGGAGGAATTTATTTCCCGACTTTTTGGCTCCACTTGGCCATATGACTTGCTCTGGCCGACGGCATGTGGGAGGACGTGGCAGTGTGTCAGTTCTGAGTCCTGCCTCAGAGGCCTCATGCCTTCCTGCTTACCCTCCTGGGCATCTAACATTGCTACAAGAAGACATCCCTGACAAATCTCTGGTCCAAGGAGGAGGAGAAACAGGAGGGCACAGTCCATCCCAGGTCAGGTCACCTTCAGCTGACCAAAGTGAGACGCAGAACTGCCTCAGTCAAGCTTTGTCTAGACCAGCAAACCCCAGTCAACTGCAGATCCCTAAGAATGAATGCTCACAGGGCCAGGCACAGTGACTCACGCCTGCAATCCCAGCACTTTGGAAGTCCGAGGCAGGATGACCTGAGGTCAGGTGTTCGAGACCAGCTGGGTCAACATAGCGAAACCCCATCTCTAGTAAAAATGCAAAAAATAGTTGAGGGTGGTGGCGGATGACTGTAATCCTACCTATTTGGGAGGCTGAGGCAAAAGAATTGCTTAAACCCAGGAGGTGGAGGTTGCAGTGAGCCGAGATTGCACCATTGCACTCTACCCTGGGCAACAGAGCCCAC